ATATATATATATATATATATATATATATATATATATATATATATATATATTAAATAATTGTTTGTGTTTTCATAGATTACCTAAAGGAGTGTGAAAAAAACCTACGAAACGTTGCATAAAATAACACAGCTCTACGAAAAAAAACTTTTTTTTGTTGCCCTGGAAATCATCGCAAATTTTTACATTTTACGTTTTCAAGTGCCCAAATTACGAATGTTTTCATGAAAGTAGCTGGAGATAGCTTTGAGATATCGAAGGGAGCTATCAAAATCAGACCAGCATACAGAGGTACCCAAACTGCGCTAGAGACACTACCGATAGCAACAGCGCAGACAGTACTCGGAGAAAGAGGCAAGATCAAGATCGGCTGGTCGAACTGCCGGGTTAGAGTAGTGAAAAAACCACAAGCATGCTTCAAGTGCTGGCACTATGGACACGTTGCTGCCCAGTGTAGAAGCGGAATAGATCGATCAAAGCTCTGTATTAAGTGCGGACAAACTGACCATCTAGTAGCTAAATGCCCTAATGAAGCAAAGTGTATGTTATGTGCTGAAAAACCCGGCTCAACAGATACTGCCAACCGGGCGGGTTCTAGTAAATACCCGGTTTTCCAAGAAGCACTTCAGAAGACAACAAATAAACGAACATGAAGATATTACAGCTGAACATTAATCACTGTGAGGCTGCACATGACTTGCTTCTGCAGACAGTGCGTGAACTAGGGCTTGACCTTGTACTAATGGCCGAGCCATATAAATGCCTTAAAGGCCAACTATGGGAAACGGACACGACCATCAGGGCCGCCATTTAGTCCTGTGGCAAGCTCCCATTTCAGAGCGTAGCTAACAATTGCAATGCCGGCTTCGTAGCAGTATCAGTAGATGGCGTTCGCTTCTATAGCTGCTACGCACCACCTAGCCTCTCTATTGCTGACTTCACTGATTTTCTGGACCGACTGACAGAGGACGCAAAGCAGCATCATCCAGTCGCGATAGCCGGCGACTTTAACTCCTGGGCAGTAGACTGGGGTAGCAAGCTAACTAACGCACGAGGTAAAGCGTTACTTGAAGCTTTTACTGCATTAGACGTAGACTTACTCAACAGTGGTGACACACCAACCTACACCAAAGGAGACGCAAGTTTCATCGTAAACCTCACGTTCGTCAGTAGCAGCCTCGCGAAAAGTAACCTCAACTGGAAGGTGCTGGATATCTACACTGCCAGTGATCACAACGCGATTCTCTGGGAAATATCAAATGACCAGGATACTAGAGGAACTAATAGGTTACCTAACCACATTCGGTGGAGAGTAAAATCTTTCGACGCGAGTACGCTGACGACTGCTTTGGATAACGGCCCGATCACCGCTGGATGCGCAGAAGATCAGACTAAATATGATTATACATGATCATATATAAACATGTCTGTTCATATATAAACAGATTAAGTTATGTATGATTAGACCTGGCCAATTTGTGGATCTGATCGTATATGAGTGATTATACATGATCATATATAAACATATCTGTTCATATATAAACAGATCAAGTTATGTATGATTAGACAAGGGAAATTTTTGGATCTGATCATATATAGACGATTATGCATGATTATATATGATTAGACAAAATCTTTTTTCATCGGGTAATGCTATGTACGTCAAATTAAGAACGTACAATGGACTTTTGGACTGATTCTTATTTTCTATCTCTCATATTAAATCCGAGCGGTACTTTTAAAATGCCCTGTGTATATCTATTGATATATTAATTTACCTCCTCTGTCGGCATCGGGAGAACCATTTTCTGGGTCGTGACCACTTGCGTTTTCTCTCTTGACGCCGGGCACATTTTCTTCGAGTTGGCAGCAGTCCATTATTAAATTTTCATATTCTCGTCCGCTAGAATGTGGAAGAAAATAAAGAAATTAATTATTGTTCAATTATAGAATTGATACACAGCATAGTTTTCAGCTATTGGCAACGAAAATCAATGATTTTAAAAAAATCAGGTACTTCTTGGTTTCACGGCAATTTACAAAAATCAAGTTTTCATTAGATCTTCACGTTTGAAGGTCTTAAGTAACTTAGTCACTATTTCAACTTTTTCTACTAAGAGGTCCTAGTGTGTGTGTATGGTTATGTGTGTGTGCCTGTGTGTGTGTATTTTCAAACTGCTTTTAACAATGGAAGGGGTTCACCAATCAAAACGCGGTTCAGGACATTTGAAAGGTTGGCAGATTTTTTTCGAAATATGTAATTTTTGTATTTTTTTTAGTTCAAATTATATTTTATTTTTATAGCTTGCAACGTGGTAATTTTTATTCGACGCCCAATACTTGGGGTATTATAATATTCCAGGCTCGAATCCAACGTCGTGAATGTTATGTGTGAATGAATGAAAATTGTACTAATTTTTATGAATTTATTTTGTGTAAAATGCGTAACGCTGGACGAGTAACGAAGACAGAGCGAGTCACAGTGGGTACGAGGCTATGCATTGGAGCGACAAGGATGGAGCTACGACGTAAACAAGCTAGTACCGAAGCGAGTACCGAAGTGACGAGGCACCAAGCGCCGTAAACACCCGAGAGGCCTGGATACCGATCGACGCTGCAGTGCCGCTATTTTCCAATACGACGATCAACATCGATGACAGTTGGTTAGTCAGTACTGCAGGAGCAGAGGTGACTAAAAACTGTCGTGAAGGTCCGTTGACTGTTATACGGACCTAGATCAACTATCGACGGGGATCAATCCCAATGGAAATGAAGACTAGCGCCGCCAACTTCAACGAAGAAAGAAGTGGATACTTCTCCATGAAGAAGACGATTCGAGGCTGGACTGTCGACGGAAACGGACGCGCTTTTGCGCGCTCCGCAACCTAAAATTAATTTCGAAGTATTGTCGCGAGTAGTTAATTTGAAATTAATTGTAATTTATATTGAGTATTTATTTAAAAATTTTTTTATTGATTTGAGTCGACCGCACGAAGCTTTCCAAGCTGCTAAGATGAGGACGACGCTCAATTTCTTGGTAAGCCGACATTCTTGTTCAGTGTTGAATCCAGCGTTGAGAGTCCACGTTGGAATTTTGTAAAATATTTTGAGTAACAAAATAATACGCGAGGATTCAACGCTTTACGATTATATTTTTTTGTGATACTGTTATTACATAGTGTGATTGCTGATGTATGACTGTGAGAGTAAGAATTGAAGTGAAGATAACGACGTTTATTAGTTTTAATTTTGTTACAATTAAACGTACATTTAATTTACGACGTTTTATTAATTTTTGTTAAAAATTAATATCGACCGCCGACATATATTTTGTTGAATAAATTGTTATTTTTTTTAATTTTCCTGAATTTATTTCAAGTAATTTTAAGAATTTCGTTTGTTTTTGCTGTCCTATTTTTTTTTTTAACGACGAGTATTTCAGCATGGCCCGCAGCCCTGAAGAAGAGGTAATAGCTAGTCGAAGTCGAAGCAGTTATTAGTTGGAGATCATTCTCCTGGCGCCCTTTTATTAATGATAATTTTTTTAGTAAGCCAAATTTTAATATAAACGGTGAGCCTGGCTTGGTAAATCCCTGGGTCAGGCGAAATCCCGTTATAAGCTGTATGCACCTTTGTCGCTATCAGCAGTAGAAGAAACCTTAAATGATTTCGTCGATCGTATTTACTTAACCTATTTGTACCTCACTTTTATAAGAAATAATTGTTTTGCCCTCGGACACTTGTGTTTGCTCGCGACCTACAAACTTTTCAACTTCAGTAGCCCTCTGAACAATTAAGTAACGTCCTCTGGGAACTACTGTACGATCTCATTTTTTTGCCATGTTTTCGTATATTTTCAAATTTGTTAGTTGTCTATTATTATTATGTCGCATGTTGTCCCACCCTCATGATTCTACTACCTTTTATGAGGAAAGCCAAAATTAACTATCTTTAGTCTTCGATAATTTTTTATCAACGTTGCATGAATTTGGATACGAAATTTTTATCGAACTCCGGGAATTTTGCAGTTTTCGTAGTTAGGTGATTTGTAGCGATTTATTCTACTAGAAAGCAATAACACTATCAACCTCATTAGAGCATTTCGTATTTGGTACCGAGGAATCTCGACCAATACAGGCGTAAGTGTTGTACGAACATCGATTTTCAATTTCCAAAACTGCACCATAGATTAGTGGGAATATTAAACGTTCGGAAACGTTGGTTAGTTACATTTCCAATAGTTTTACTTGAACTTTTATTTATTTTCCGCAAAAACATTGGAACAGATTGTTCTTCTTTCGCATACATACACATATGTATATTAGGGTGGTCGTTAAAAATTAAATTTTTTGCGGCGCCAAAAAAAATCCTTCCTTGGGACGAGAAACTACAGGAAAATTTTTGCTTTTGGATTTTAAACAAAAAGAACACGTGCCGACGGGCAATCGAAGTTTTTCAATTGAAGATTTTTTGATAAAATTATAGTTTTTTGAAATATTTGTTACGGTATTTAAATTCGGACAAAAAATCATGAAAACAAGCTTGTAGAAAATTAAATTCTCTACAAAAGGGTTTCTTTCGGTTTTAGATGAAGTTCATATCTATCGAGATGATAATCTTATAAATAAACTCATAAACGCCATTAAGTCAGTCATTTTAGCACTAAAAACGTTATTTCTCCAGAAACATGAACAATTTTATAACTTCTATTCACAAAAAAAATATTTAAATAGGTCTCGCAAATGATAAAAAAGTGATATTTGATATTATTTCGTTATTTTCCAGACGGAAATGTTCAAATTTATTTCTCATAAATTGGTTCATTAATTCCAAGGTTTGAGTAAGCTTTCTTTTGTATTTTTAATGTTTCGACCTCTGTAATCATCCAAAATTTGAATAATAAACTGCTTCTGATCTTCATCTTTGGTGAACAAATCATTGTATTCTTGCCTTAACTTTACACTGCGTTCAGCAACATCGTTCACAACTGGTAAATTATTTACAGCGTTCAAACAGATCTGATAATTTATATTTTCTTGCCAGTTTTCACAATCATCTTTCAACCAAGTTGAATTTAAACCTAGTTTAAGAAAGAAATTAATTGAAGAAGTATTAACGAACTGTTCTAATCCGTGGTCGAATAATTTTGATACATCTTTTTCAGTTATTACCAATTTTTTTGAATTATAGATTTGACTGTCATCTGAAGAATTAAGTTCATCATTAGAAGTATCGAACAATTTTTGAACCATTTGTTTTTTCGTTTCTTTATCAATACCGTCATCGAATAATGCCATCAAACAGTTTTTTGGAGTTAGGTACCATAAATGAATCAAAATTTTTTTCAAAACAGCAGAAGACAGTTTTATGTCAATTGATTAGAAGTTGTGAATCGATTGTGAAAACTGGCAAGAAAATATAAATTATCAGATCTGTTTGAACGCTGTAAATAGTTTACCAGTTGTGAACGATGTTGCTGAATGCAGTGTAAAATTAATGTAAGAATACAATGATTTGTTCACGAATCCGATGAATTTGTGCACGAGTACGATGATTACAGCGCTCGAAACATAAAAAATACAAAAGAAAGCTTACTCAAACCTTGGAATTGATAAATCAATTTATGAGAAATAAATTTGCGCATTTTTGTTTTGAAAATAAGGAAATAATATCAACTATAACTTTTTTATCATTTGCAAGAGCTATTTAAATAACTAATTGTGAATAGAAGTTGTAAAATTGTTCATATTCCTGGAAAAATAAAGTTTTTAGTGCTAAAATGACTGACTTGAGGGGTAACGATAGTAGAATTTTTGTCATGGGGGTGGCCATGTTTTTTCAGGTGCCACCACTATTGATAAGTTTACTAATAAGATTATCTCGATAGATATGAATTTCATCTAAAACCTAAAGAAACCCTTTTGTAGAGAATTTAATTTCCTACAAGCTTGTTTCCATGATTTCTTGTCCGAATTTAAATACCGTAACAAATATTTCGAAAAACTATAATTTTATCGAAAAATCTTCAATTGAAAAACTTCAATTGCCCGTCGGCACGTGCTCTTTTTGTTTAAAATCAAAAAGCAAAATTTTTCCCGTAATTTCTGGTCCCAAGGAAGAATTTTTTTGGGCGCTGCAAGAAATTTATATATATATAACCACCATAATGTATATATATATATATATATAAATTTCTTGCAGCGCCCAAAAAAATTCTTCCTTGGGACCAGAAATTACGGGAAAAATTTTGCTTTTTGATTTTAAACAAAAAGAGCACGTGCCGACGGGCAATTGAAGTTTTTCAATTGAAGATTTTTCGATAAAATTATAGTTTTT